CCGTCGCCGCCCCCCGGCAGCAAGTCCCCGGCCAAGGCGGCGGCGGCGGCGGCCCCCGCGGCGCCCGCGGCGGCGCCGGCCGCGCCGGCGCCTGCGGGTACGACCGGCAGTACCACCGGCGGTACCACCTCCCAGCCCCACAAGTGCGAGATGCGGGTGGTATCCTACTATGGCGACTGGCGCTGCTTCTGCGGGGAGGCCAACCGGCTGTGGGATACCTGTGCCTGCGGCCAGATACCGCCCTGCAGGTGGGCAGATGGGCACATGGCTGGGGCACGCCCCTCCTTCTAGAGATCTGCCGCCGCGCCCCCTCGTGGCTTGCGCATTGCTGGGCTGCTGCTGCTGTGCCCGCTTGGGATGCGGGGCCGAGGCGCTGTGCCCCGAGGCCGCCCCTGGGCCCAGGCGCCGGCGCCCAGCTTGCTTCACTGCCCACCTGCGTCCTGCTGGCCTCCGCATGCCTTGCCGTGCACGCCGCCCGGCACCGGCCCCTGTTTCTGACCTAGGGTGGCGCCTGCGCCGCTCCCGCTGCCGCGCAGGGATTGGGTGCGCGGGCGCTGCACCTACAAGACGCGCTGCCGCTTCGCCCACCCGCCGTTTGAGGCGAGAGCCGCCGCCGCCGCCGCCGGCCCGCGACGCGCCTCGCTGCCCGCTGCGCTCGAGCCCTGCTGTGGCTCTGCTTTGGCTCTGCTCTGGCCTGCCATGCCCGCACCGCGCCCTCCTCTGCCACACGCGCCGGCGCTGTGCCTCACTGCCTGCTCCCTCGCCCCGCCCTGACCTGCCCTGACCTGCCCTGACTCCCCACCACCCCCGCTCCACCGCTTGCAGCTCCCCGACACGCTGCCCCGCCCCAAGAGCCCCATCGCCAAGCCATCCTCAGAGGCGCTGGTGCTCAGCAGCAAGCCGGGAGGCGGCGCGGCGCGCACCGGCAGCGGCGGCGGCGGCGGCGGCAAGGCCGGCACCGCAGACCCCCCTGCCGTGGTGACGGCGCTGCGGGTAGTGAGTGCGCCCGGCGGCGGCGGGGCCAAGGGCGGCGGTACGGGACACAGGGCGGTACAGCTGGTCAAGGCCGGGGGCCGCCCCGGCGGCACCGCCACCGCGGGGCCACCCGCAGCGGCGGGCAAGGCGGGCGGCGCGGCGGCCGCGCCGGATGCGGCGCCTCCGCCGCCGCTCAAGCCCGCCCCCTGGGCCAACGTCAAGCCCGGGGCGGCGGTGCCCGGTGGGGGCCCTCCCGCGGCCGCCGCCACAGCAGCCGCTGCCGGCTCGCCATCCTCATCCTTCAGCCTGTTTGGGGGCAGCAGCCCGCTGCTGCTGTCGGCGCTGGGGCCCGGCGGCGGCGGCGGCGAGGCAGGGATGGCTGGGCTGGGGCCCGAGCCGGCGGCTGCCATGGCTACGCCGCCTGCCGCGGCGGCCCCCGCCCTGCCCCTGGGCGCGTTTGCCGGCGGCGGCGGCGGCAGCCTGTTTGGCCCGGGCATCTTCTCGCCCGCTCCCGCGGCGCAGCCGGCGCACGGCGGCGCGTCGTCGCCGAGCGCGGCGCCGCATCACAGCCTGCTGCTGCAGGCGCAGCAGGCGCAGCTGGCGCCGCCGCACAGCCCCACGCGCCTGTCGGGCGGCGGCAGCCTGGCCCACACGCCGCTGCTGCTCAGCCCGCAGCAGGTGCGGCTGGGGCAGCCAGGGGCGCCCTCGCCCTCCGCCCTCCACCCATCCATGCCCTACCTGCACTCCCCTCAGCAGCAGCATGCCAGCAGCATGCCCAGCCCGCTGGCAGACCTGCCGCTGGGCAGCCCGGCAGCGGCGCAGCATGCGGCAGGGATGGCGGCTGGGGCAGGGCCCGGGCTGGACCTGCCCGGCTACGCCGCTTTCCACCACCAGCAGTCCCATGCAGCCGCCGCCGCGGCCGCCGCCTTTGGCAACGGCGGCGGCGCCGGCGGCGGGCTGGGCTTTGGCGGCGCCGGCGCGCTGCTGGGCGGCGCGGGCGGCGGCTTTGGCGCCGGCTTTGGCGGCGCGGGGCTGGGCCTGGGCGGCGGCGGCGGCGGCGGCGCGCATGCCGGCGTGCCGGCCAGCGGCGGCATGGATGACTGGTCAGACCTGCAGCAGCAGCTGCCCTCTGACCTAGGCGCCATGCTGGGAGCAGAGCAGTCGCCGATGAAGCCGCCCGCAGCGGCTCAGCCGGCGGGGCACGAGGGTCTGTACGGCGCCAGCGCCAGCAGCCGCCACTGGTTCTGAGAAGCTGGTGGGCGGCCGCTGCTCGAGACGGTACCGCCGGATTGGTACCGCCTGGCCTCGACTCGTTGACCATGGGAACCCCCCCTCCCCTCCTATTTATTCCTGCAACAGACACGCTGCTCGACTGCCAGCCGAGAGCGCCACTCGTCTGCAGCCAACTGACTGCTGCGGAGGGACGGTTTACAGCAGTAGTGTCGCGACGTGCGGCCAGCCGGGGCCTCAGGCCCCAGCCGGCTGCCCAGCCGCCGTGATGGACAAAGAAGAGCGGGAACAGAGGAAACAGTGCAGCAGGCCCGGGATGAGATGCATGTGTAGCACAGCGGTGCAGGTGGGAAGGCAAAGCTGTGCAGAATGTTGAAGTCTCGGGGTCGCTTCAGCAGCGGCGGCAGGTGCGCCGCGGCGTGCCGCACGCCTCAGCCGGCCCAGGACCAGATCAGAGCTCCGCCGCGGGCACCTTGTCCATGCCGGCGCCGCCCTCTGCCAGCGCGCTGCCGGGCTTCAGGATCTTCCGCAGGTTCTCAGCCTCGCCATAGGCGCTGGAGTGGGGCAGGAACTCTGCAGAAGGGAGGCGGGGTGGGGAGGGGGGCGACAGGCATGGCGAGGTCGGCAGCGGTGGAAGGAGCGGGGGCGCGCCGCGGGTTCGCCGCCGCCATTGGTGGCTACATTGCCAGTGGTAGCTGCATTGCGCAGCACAACCCTGTGCAGCAGCAGCCGCCGCCGCGCCGGCCGACGGCAAGACCGCCTCCCAAGTGGCGGCAGGCCATCCGGCCGCAGCTGCCCTTCGCATTGCGGCGCGCGCGCGCGTGCACACACACACAGACACACACCAAGGCGGGCACACACACACGCATGCAGGCAGCGCACCGTCTGCGTGCGCGTCGGCCACGTGGAACATGCTCTGCGCCAGGCCCGCAATCTCCGCCTTCTGCTCGCAGCAACACAACACATTCCAGGGGGGCAGGCGGAGATGCGCGCGGGGCAGGGTGAGCCTCGCAAGCGACAAGACACACATCGGCGGAGCCTTGCGGTTAGAAGCCTGGCGGTGTAGCAGAACAAAGGCTACGCCGCAGCTGGAGCAGCCCCAGGCCCAGCCCCCAGCCCCACCTCGTCCTTTGTGAGGTCGCGCACATACTTGGCCGGGCTGCCCGCCCACAGCTGGCCTGAAGGTATCCGGCGCCCCGGCGGCAGCACGCTGCCGGGCGCCAGCACCGCGTGCTTCTCCACTAGGCTCCCCTCCAGCAGCACGCACTTGTCCCCCACCACCGCCTCGTCCTGAACGGTGGTGGACCGCAGCAGGCAGGACTGGCCGATGGTGACGCTGCGGCCAATCACAGTGGCGGCAGGCAGGCCGGTGGGCGAGGAGCTGCGGGCAGGGGACAGTGGGGGTGCGCGCGTGTGTGATGTGTGGCCGGGCCGGGCCTGGCTGTCAGGTGTGGAGGAGGAGGGTCGGCGGCCTCGGAGCTGCACCCAGCCACCCGCCCCGGCCCGCCGCCGCCAGCCGCCCGCAGCGAAGCAGCGTGCACCCACCGCGCGGCGTGGATGACGGTCCTGTCTTGCACGTTTGTGAAGGCGCCGACCTTGACTGAGTTGAGGTCGCCACGCAGCACGCAGCCATACCAGATGGAGGTCTGCGGGTGGGTGGGTGGATGCAGGGTTGAGCAGCACGCAGGCAGCAGGTGTGCTCGGGGTGAAGCCTTCCGTCGTGCCCAGGCAGAAGCGAGGGGCTGCGGCAGCGGCTGCGCGCGGCAGCAGCCGGCCCGCACGGAGTGCCCGGCTGGTGTGGGCACATTCACAGCTTGCTTCCCTGCCGGCAGACGGGGCTGCTGCCAGCCAAGCCAGCCAGCGGGCAGCAGCGCACCTTCTCAAACAAGTCGACATCGCCCACCACCACCGCGTTGGGCGCCACCCAGGTGTCGGGCGCGGCGGTGGGCACGCGGTTGCCCAGGATGATAACCTGCCGCTGCCTGCAACCGATTCACGGCGGGCGCGCAGCCAGGGGCAGCTGGCATGAGCAGCAGCATGCAGCAGCAGAGCAAGGCGTCTGGCCGGCAAGCCCCGTCGACCCGCCCCTCGCCGACGGCCGAGGCGCCTCCAGCAGGTGCTCCCTCCGGCCCCTCGCCCGCTCGATGGCCTCAATTTTACCCCTCCCTCAGCAGCGTAGCTCGCCTGTTGTACACCTCCTCCTCGGGGTGCACAGGCGCTCGCCCCACTGCGGCGGATGTGAAGGCGCGGGTCCAGGGCGCCGCTGCTGCAGAGGTAGATGGCTGCACCGCCTCCACCGCTGCGGGCAGGCGCTGCGCAAGCAGAGCGGCAGCCCTCCTCATCGTGTGTGATAGCCTGCCCAGCCCACAGCGCGCAGCGAGCTACCGAATTCCTACAGCTTGACGATCCTGCAATCGCGCGTGGACTTGGGTTCGCGGGGGCAAGCACACCAAGCTCGAGTGCAGCTGACGGGGGTTTCTTCCGCCCCAGAGAGCCGCAAGCGGCTCCCTGCATCGCCGTGCCCGCCGTGTGAACGCAATCGATCAGTAAATCAAGCTACCACCGGCTTTCCCCGCCCTCGATCACCTCTGCACCTGATCAATTGTGGCACTTGTGCAGCGCCGGCCGCCTTTGCCCCTGCACGAGCCCGTGGCAAGTATTACCGACATAGTCAGCAGCGGGGTGGAGGTCCTGCACCCGTAGCACGCCACAGCTGAGCAGCCGACTGCAGCTATGGGCTCCCGCGGGCTGGGAGTCACCCCGGCAGACATGGTGCGCCGCCGGGGCCGGTTTGGCGCGCAGGCGGGAGGCGGCCAGAGGGGTCTGCAAGTTGCGGCGGGTGGGCGGCACCCTTCCCGCCCGTGCACGTCGACGCCCCGCCTGCCGGCTGCTGTCGCTGCAGGATGCCTCACGCCTGGTGTTTGTGTCCGTCAAGGACGCCAAGCCCAAGCGCAAGGTGGCGGTGCCGATTGGGGACGGCACCTCCTGGGAACAGTTCTGCAGCCAGGTGCGGGCAGCGCGGCGCCCGCTTGGCCGGCTCGGCCACCGCTGCCTCGGTTGCGCTGCCTCGCCATCCGTGGCCTGCCCACAACACCGCCATGCTGCTGCACGCGGCCGACGGTGCCGGCTGCTTAATCCAGCCTGCAACCTCGCCGCGGGGACCCCACGCCTGGGCCCGCCAGCCTCCCCACCAGCTCGCTCTCTGCCTCCCCTGCCTGCCCGCCCCCGCCGCCGCCTTCTGCTGCCGCCGCCGCTCCCCGGCGCAGGTCCAGACCAAGCTGAAGCTGATGGGCATCGAGGCGATCTACCTGGCATCCAGCGGAGAGCGCATCACGCGCCTGGACCAGCTGCAGGACATTGACGAGCTGTATGTGGTGGAGGTGCGCTGGGTGGTGGTGGTGGGGGTGGTGCATGTGTGTGATGCTGGTGTGCGTGCGTGTGTGTGTGATGGTGGTGTGTGTGTGATGGTGGTGCGTGTGTGATGGTGGTGCGTGTGTGTGAGGGGTGGTGTGTGGGTGTGTGTGCGTGAAGCCCAAAAGGATGGGTGCGGCGCACACGGCCGTGGTGCCGGGGAGGGAGTATGCAGCATGTGGAGCCGTCGGTGGCTGCGCAGGAGATGGGGGGCGTGGGGCGAGCATGGCCAGACCTTGCCACGGGCTAGCAGGCGCCCCCTGTGGCCAACCCACCCCTTGCCGCCCGCCTGCCCTGCGCCGACGCGCAGGGCGCCGCGCCGCGCGGCGGCCACGGCTCGGCGGCGGGGCCCGACAGCGGCGGCGGCAACGGCTACCTTCAGTCACAGCCCACCAGCTACGTCAGCCGCATGGGGGTGGCAGACACAGAGATCACGGCAGAGCAGAGCGGGCAGCTGGACCCCGATGCAGACGGCTCCAAGTATGTGCGGCGCCAGACCTCCATACAGCGCACCCTCAAGCGCGTCTTCCCCTCGCTCTTCCAGGGAGGCGGCTCGCTGCCCATCACAACCAAGTGAGCCCACTTCGGCCCGCGGGGGCGACTCGTGCGGGGCAGCGCGCAGCAGCATGCTGCGCCGTGTCGTCTCGTGCTGTGCCGCAGCATGCCTGCCCGCTGGCCTGCCCGCTGGCCTGCCCGCTGGCCTGCCCCGAGCCGCTGCCTGCCCCTGCCCTCGTGCAGGGACCTGGGCAGCGGCATGAGCCCCGCGGTAGAGCAAGTGCGGCGGCGCATCCGGCGGCGGCGGCGCGCCTGCGCCGACCCCCGAAACCTCCTCATCCTCTTCACCCTCATCTCCTGCCTGGGTACCGTACTCTTTGTCTACACCCGCACCGCGCAGGGCCTGCCCTGATGGCGCCATGCCGTCACACGGCTGGTGGCGGGATGGCGGCCGCCGGCAGCACCCCTTGCTCTCTCCTGCCGCAGCCGCGAGCCCCTGGTGCGGCTGGCGAGGCCACTTTATTGTTCTTTGATCTGAACTGTCACACGCAACACATCAGTCAATCAATCGTACAATGCGAAAGCTGGGAGAGGGGGAAAACCACGGCAAAGAGGGGCAAAGAGAACCAAATAGCGCGGCGGCCTGCCGCAGGGATCGTTCGTACAAAGGCGCGGCCGTGTGGGCAGCATGGCTTGGGATGGCGGCGCCGGCCGGCGCTCCACCAGACCCCGACAGGGGGCACCACCCAGCATCAGCCGCTGCCGGGAGGGCGCCCGCACAGCGCTGCTGTGGCGCGGCCGGGTGGGATACTTGCTACGGGCTCAGCTCTCCGGCTGCTGCTGCTGGATGGGAAACTTCGCCACGGGCCCGCCCTCGTCGTCGCTGCTCAAGTCCTCCGCAGGGTCCTGTGGCACCGCGCGCACCTGGATGGCGTGGGTGGAGGCGGTGCGCCAGATGGGCTGCCGCCCGCTCTGAACGATGGCCACCAGCTGGCCGCCCTTGGCGTGGCCGCGCTCCTTGAGCATGCCGATGGCCCTGCAAGCAGGGGTGGGAGGGTGGGGCAAGTGTGGGCCCTCATGGCCAAGCCTAATCCCCCGATCCCCACACCCTTGTGACCCAAACGCGCCGCTGGCTCCTGGCGCCCTCCTCCCACCCAGACACCACCCCCACACACCAGCGCCACACAGCCAGCCATGCACAACCCCACACAGCGACCGCCCCCACCTGTCAAAGGTGACCTCCTGCTGCTCCGAGAAGCGCATGTAGATGGCGGTGACGGAGTGGTAGAGCGCCATGCGCCGCTGCACCAGCTCGTTCTCGGTGAAGCAATAGATGGGGTAGTCGGGGCTGCAGGGGGGTGGGTGGGTGGGGGGTGTTGGAAGGAGGCACAGGTGACGGCAGAGGGAGGGAGGGTGAGCAGAAGGATGAGAAGCGGGAAGAAGGCACGAGAGGGGAGGAAGGGAGAGAGTTGGGAGAGAGCGGGGAGAAAAGCTGGTGCGGCAGAAGGCAGGCTGCGGATCCCCAGAGGTGCTCCTGCAGCTCAGGTGCTCCTGCAGCCCCTCAGCACAGACGCACCGGTAGTGGCTCAAAAGAGCGGGCATGTTGCCCTTGCGGGAGAACACAACCAGGCTGGTCTTCAGGGTGTTGGCCATCTGCGGAAGAACAGGTTGGACGGGAGGGGTGCAGGCAAGGGGCCGAGGGTTGAGGTGGGAGACAAAGCGCGCAGACGGGGCAGGGCAAGGCAAGGCAAGGCAGCGCGCAGAAGCTGCCGAGCACCCCCCGTGGACACCCGCAGCCCAGCAGCAGCCACAGCCCACAGCAGGCCCCCCGGCCACCGTGACTGCGTGGTAGGCAAACATCTCCGCCAGCCCCTGGTCGGCCAGGCTGCTCATGCGGCGGCCCGGCGGGATGATCCACGCAATGGGCGGCGCCTCGTCGCTGCACTCCAGGCACACACAGGTCAAGGTCAGGATGGAGGTCACAGATAAGAAGCGGCGGGTGGGCGTGGGCTGGCGTCACCAGAGCTGGGCACGAGGGCAGCCAGGGGCAGGCGCTGCACCCCTCCTCCCTCCAGCGCTGCTACGCCCGCGCCTGCTGGCTCGGCTGCGGATCAAGATGCGCACCTGCCGTACCGCCTGGTACCGTGGTACTTCAGCATGGACAGCTCCGTGCGCCGCGCCACCGTCGTCATGGTGTCCAGGCTCTTGAAGGGGAAGCGCCCGTACGCAGTCTCCCCTGCACAGGTGGCGTCGCATGCAGGCGGGCGGGGACAGGCTGAGGCGAGCCGCGGGTGGCAAGGCTAATTGGGCTAACTAGGCGCGCCCGCCTGCCGCGGCGAGCCGTCGCGAGGGCACTCTGCACAGCCGCGCATGAGTTCGAGCCGGGCGCACCCGACAGCATGACGGCGTCAGCGCCCTCCCTCACGGCGATGGCGATGTCAGACACCTCGGCCCTGCGGGGGCAGGCGGCGGAGGCAGCGGGCATGCGGGCAGGGTGGGCCTCAGCCCAGGGCTGACGCGCCCCAGCCCCCCGGCCCCAGCAGAAAGTGTGCAGAGGAATCCCGCACTCTCTGCTGGCAATGGGCCTGGGTAAAGTGCATCGTGGATCGCTTGTAGCGAAGATGCACCCAGGCCCGTAGCCGCAGCCGCAGCCAGCCAGCCAGCCAGCCGCAGCCGCAGCGCACCCACCGCGTGGGCGTGGGGTTCTGGATCATTGACTCAAGCATGTTGGTGGCCACAATGCACGGCTTGCCCCGCCGCCGGCACCCCTGCACAATCTTGCTCTGCCAGTAGGGCACCTGCGCGGGCGGCGGGGGAGGCGGGGGCGGGGGCCTTGTTGGAGGAGCCCATCCCCTGTAAGGCGTAGGTGCAGGTGCGCCCTCCCAGCTCTCTGCTGGCATGTGCCTCCCAGCCAAGTCCAGCCGCGCCTCCTCCACAGGCAGCTGCGCTCCACCCCACCCCATCCCATCCAAGCACAGCATGGCACGGCACAGCGCAGCGCAGCACAGCAGTAGCACATCACGGCAAAGCGCAGCACAGCACGGCGCAGCGCAGCACAGCACAGCGCACCTCCTCCACTGGCAGCTCGGCGCCCAGGTCGCCGCGCGCCACCATGGCTCCGTCCACCGCATCCAGAATCTCCTCCAGGTGCTCCACAGAGTCGGCGCTCTCAATCTTGGCCAGCACACCGATGGCAGAGGTGCCGCTGAGGCCTGCAGGGAGGCGGCGGCGGCAGGCCTCAGCGGCGGCGCATCCGCGCGGCAGGCACGGGGGCAGAGGTGCTGGGGTGGGGAGCGGACGGGCGAGTGTGGCTGCCGGCCCTGGCAGAGGACGCCGAGCAGCCGGCGCCTGCCACCTCGGCGCCTGCCACCTGGGCGCCTGCCACCTCAGCGCCTGCCACCTCACCCTGCTGCGCCAGGTACTCCTTCAGCTCGTAGATGACGGCGGCGTCCCGCACAAAGCTCAGCGCGTAGAAGTCCACGCCCACCTGCGGAAGCGGGGAGTGGGCCGCGCGTAAACGGGTGCGCGTGTGGTGCTTGCTTTGGCCACCAGTACACACACTCTGCTGCAAGCTGGATGTAACCTGTACCCTTGCAGGTCATGAGGGCCTGACAGAGGGAGCAGACAGCCGGGCGCATTGGCCTGCACGCACCTCGATGCCAAAGCGTATATCGGCCCAGTCCCTGTCGGTGATGGCGGGAAGGTTGGCGCTTTTGCCCCGGATGTTCAGGTGCCGCCTGCGGCAGCGGCACGCGCAGCGGGCGGGTCGGCATCTCGCGGGAACAAGCGCTCAGGGGTGGCCCGGCATGCCGAATGCCATGCTGGCAGAAGGCGGGGCCGGCCTGCTGCTGCTGGGAAGCTGCCAGCCAGCCAGCGGGGCCTTGCCTGGATCCCATGGTGCCCCCGTCCACCACGGTGCACTCCACATCTGCAGGCGGGGGCAGAGCAGGCACCCAGGGATCAGCAAGGAATGGGATCAGCCGCACAACCACGAAGGCCAGAAGCGCCGTCCCCCGCTCGCATGTCCGCTGCCCAAGCCCAGCATATTGCCGCCTGTTAACCACCCGCACCTATGTCGGTGATCCTTTCCACCTGCAGGCTCATGATGCCGCCATCCACCAGCAGCATATCGCCCACGCTGGCATCGTCCACAAACTGGTCATAGTTGACTGCAGGGGCAGGGCAGCAAGCAGGGCAGGAAGGTGGGGCGGAGGGTGCAGGGCAAGCAGGAAGGAGGCTGCGAGGCTAGAGGCCAGGAATGGAAGGAGGGAGGTCCAAGGCGCCTGCCACGCTGGCCCCTGCAAAGCAACGGCAGCCAGCGGCTGCCTGCCCATGCAGAGCCGGGCTACCCCACCTCCAATGCGGTTGTCGGTTCCGTCGGCGCCCTCCACGATGGTGAAGGTCACCTTGTCCCCGGCAGACAGCTGCAGCGGCGCCGCCAGGTCGCCGCTGCGCACCTCTGCAGCAGCGGGGGCGCACCAGGCGCGGAGGTGAAAGCGGTAAAGAGGTATCCTCATGGTGGCGAGAGGCTGGTGGGGAGGAGAGATGGCATGTAGGCGGATGGAGGGGAAGCGTGACAGCTGACCACCGGATCAGACCCCGCCACCTCCCCACTCTGCCCCTTGTGTCAGCACCTGGCCCCTTCGTGTCGAGCATCACCTGCGATGAAGGGAGGCAGAGGGCATGTTGGTGGCACATGAAGCAGGCACAGGGCATGCGTGCTTCCTCAGGCTGCCAGCACACAGCGCCAGCTCAGCGCCAGCTCACCGCCAGGTTGCCGCGGCCCAGGGAGTTGTACTCCCTGACCAGGTCCACCACAGCCTGCGGAGAGGCGGCGGCGCAGCGAGAAAGCCGGAATGACAGCTCATGACGTGGACATGACAGGCACAGAATGACCACACCCCTGGTACGCGGCAGCTGGGCTGACGCCCGCACCTTGTGGCTCGCATGGTCGCCGTGCTGCAATTGCAACACACAGAAAGCGAGGAGGGTTGGAAACTGAGCACACAATCTCCACACTTCCAGCCAGAGAAATCGCCACGCTCTAATGAACCGCGCTACAAAACTGCGCAGCAGCAGCCCGCTCACCGACATGTTGAGGCGCACCACCGACATGCCCGCGTCTGCCAGCTGGAAGAGGCCCTCCCGGGTGCAGGACGTGGGACCGATCGTGCAAACTATTTTGGTCTTCCTGCGGCGGCGGCAGAGGGCGGCAGAGGGCGGCGGCTCAAGAGTGTATGTGCAGCATGCAAGCCGCACGCCCCTCTGCGCGATATGTTGGCTTGGCGTCCCCGCTCCCGCGTGTGCGACCAGAGATACAATGCGGATGATACACCAGGCCAGGGGTCCCAAAGTGCCAACCTGGTGCCACCTCAGCGGATGTGGTAGACACCCAGCGGGGTTCAATGCGCGGTACCGAATCGCCCCATAGCCGAGCTCCCTGCTGCTAGCCCCCACGCCCTCAGCACCCCGCACCCACCTGGCTGGCGGGTTGTCTCGGTAGTCCTGGAAGGCAGCTGTGTCTATGTCCATGTCTGGCTGGGCCTGCAGGGAGCCGCCGTTGCTGAGCGTGACGCCGCCCGCCAGCGCCAGCGCCGCCGCCTCGACGCGCCGCTTGGGCGACTGCGGCTGCTGCTGTGGGGTCGACCTGCGCGCGGCAGTGAGGCGGGGCTAGGGTGAGGCCATCCTAAAGATGCAGGGAAGGTGTCACACGGGTTGCTGGCGGCGGCGCCAGCTTGCCGGCCGACGCACCGGTCCAGCCCGCTCTGGCTAGCTGCTGCTGCGCCATCCCGGCGTGCTGCCGATGCACTACAGGCAGCCTGCCGACGCCCTGGGCGGACAGCCAGCGGCTTGGCTTGCAAGGCAGAAATGCTGCACAGCATGGTGGGGTGCACAGGAGCAGGCTGCGGGTGCTGTGGTATGTCGCCAGTCAGTGTGCGACACCGGCCATCAAGGCTCCAGCGATCGAGGAAGCAGGATGAGATGAAGCCAGCTCAGCTCCCCGGCACGCCATGCAGCCGAAACACGACGCCCACCCAGCGATCGGGCCTGCTGCAGCCATCCCACACGCGTTTCCTGCTCGTCTGGAGGTTTGTAAGGCGCTCCGCCAGTGGCCGATCAACTTGTGTCTTCACTCTGCCAAAACCGGTCACAGGCCACCTGACAGAGTCGGCGTGACCGACGTGAACGATTGCCCCTAACCAGTTGACGCTGTCAGGGCCGGCGCAAGGCGGAATCGCGAGTGTGGCAATCGCGACCATGCGCAGCGCTGCACCAAGCACCACAGGGCGGCTGCAGGCATCCAATGCCGCCGTCAGGCCTCTACCTGGCGTCCAAGTGCGTCGCCAGGCGTGCCGGCAGCAGCAGGCAGCAGCACCGGGCCGGCCGCGTCGCCGAGGGACCGCAGTTGCTGCCGCCAGCGGCGACGCCGTGGCAGTGGAACCCAGCAAGAGGATCAAGCGGGATGCAACTGAGATCATTGGAAACACGCCCCTGGTGAGTGCACGGTTCGCTCCGCGGCCATCAGCAATAAACCCTCCTGCGGCACCAACCCCTGCCCTTGGCGTACCGTCAAATTGCACGCCTGGTGCCAGCCACCTGCCGCTCTTGCTTTTGGCTGCCATTCATCGAGATCGGAAATTGGAACCCTGGCATGCCATGTTTGGGCTCTGTGTCACTTCAGCGATGCATTGGGAGTGAGTGTGCAGCTGCCGCTACTATAGTTGCATCCGGCGCTGGCGCCCATCTGTGTTGCCTCGCCCAACGCGCACGCTGCCCTGCGCTCCCCTGCCCTGCGCTGTTGGTGTGTCTGCAGGTGCGGCTGAACAAGGTGAACGAGATGTGCTTTGCCGACATTGTGTGCAAGCTGGAGCTCATGGAGCCGTGCAGCTCGGGTGGGGAGGGCTGCGCCGCATCCGCAGCGCTCCCCTGCACCCGCACTGCGTGTTGTGCTGACGCCTTGCCCGGCCGGCCCCCTGCCCTGCCAATTGACCTGCCAGCCCGCTGCCGCTCCTGCTGGCTGCAGTCAAGGACCGCATCGCGCTGAGCATGGTGCAGAAAGCGGAGGAGCAGGGGCTCATCTCCCCGGACAAGACAATTCTGGTGGAGCCCACGTCGGGCAACACGGGTGGGTGGTGGCGGGAGGGTGGCTGCTGGTCTGTACGTGCCGATGGTTGGGAGGGCGGGCTGGAGGCTGAGGGGCGCACTGCCAGGTGGGGTGGCGGAGCTGGTGGGCAGCGCCAGCCCATGGTCCGCAGCCGCAGCATGCTGACGCGTGTGCCCGCCTGGCGCCCGCCTGGCGCCCGCCCGTCTGCAGGCGTGGGCCTGGCATACATCGCAGCCGCCAAGGGCTACAAGCTGGTGCTGACGATGCCGGAGACGATGAGCACGGAGCGGCGGGTGCTGCTGCGCGCCTTTGGGGCGCAGCTGGTGCTGACCAGCGGGCGGCTGGTGAGCTGGCCTGGGCTGGGCTGGGCTGCGCTGGGCTGGGGGGCTGGCCTGGCTGGCTGGCTGCCAGACTTGGCTGGCCAGCAGGGGGCGCCGCGACAGGCGAGGCGACCAAGCTGCGTGGCCAGCAATGCTGGGAAGCGGCAGCATGGGGAGCCGGGCACGGTGCTGCAAGTATTTGAGCGGCTCGGCGAGCTTGTTGTGGCTGAGCATGTCTTGGCTTTGGGCCTGCCTGCCTGGCTGCAGGGTATGACGGGTGCGATCCAGAAGGCGGAAGAGATTGTGAAGGTCACGCCCGGGGCCTACATGCTGCAGCAGTTTGACAACCCCGGTGGGTGGGCTGCTGCCGGGCAGCGGCCGCAGGGCGTGCGGCAGCGGGCACCAGGTGTTTGGCCCGTCCCTGTTCCCCCCTCTCTTCCTTACCCTCCTCTCTTCCTTACCCTCCTGTCTTCCATACCCTCTACCTCTGTTTGCCCTCCCCTGACCCTGCCGCAGCCAACCCCGCGGTGCACTACTCCACCACGGGGCCCGAGATCTGGCGGGACACCGGCGGCCAGGTGGACTTCCTGGTGGCGGGGGTGGGCACCGGCGGTACCATCACGGGCGCGGGGCAGTACCTCAAGGAGCAGAAGCCGGCCGTGCAGCTGGTGGCGGTGGAGCCCGCGGAGAGCGCGGTGCTGTCGGGGGGCAAGCCCGGCTACCACCAGGCAAGCCCGCCCGACGCTGCCCAGCTGGCGGCCTCCATCTGTGGCAGCCCGCCAAGCCTCGCTTTGGCGCCTGGTAGATAGCCCTGCGTCATTGGGCAGCCCTCCCAACCCTGCCAACCAGACCCTCCTCCCTCCGATCCTCCCCTCCTTCCCTCCCTCCCTCTTTACCTCCCTCCTCCCCTCCCTCCCTCCCACAGATCCAGGGCATCGGCGCTGGCTTCATCCCCAAGGTGCTCAACGTGTCGCTGCTGGATGAGGTGGTGCGCGTGTCCAGCCACGACGCGGTCACCATGGCGCGGCGGCTGGCCACGGTGCGCATCAGGCCGGGGCGGGGGGGGGGCGGGGCTGGTCGGGGCACCAATGTCGCGTCCGGGGACCATCCCCCGGCTCTCTGCTGCTGCGCGGCGCAGGCTCTCTGGTGCTGCACTGCCAGGGGTTGGGGCAGCCCTGGGAGCCGCTGAGGCCCCAAGCCTGTCCCGGCTGGAAGGTACAAGGTAGCTGAAGCTGGCGCTGTGTGTTTGCCCGCCCCTGCCCGCCCCCGCGCAGGAGGAGGGCCTCCTATGCGGCATCAGCAGCGGCGCGGCGGTGTGGGCAGCCATCAAGTGAGGCGGGCCTGCCCCTGCAGCAGCCCCACGCATCCACAGCCGCCGAGCCTGCCCCTGCGCCGTTGCCCGCTGCCGTTCGCGCCCCCACATACTCTGGACCCCCAACCTTGCCTCCCCTGCCCCTCGTTTGCCCCTGCCAGGGTTGCTCAGCGGCCTGAGAACAAGGGCAAGATGGTTGTGGTGGTGCTGCCGTCCTTTGGCGAGCGCTACCTGTCCACCGTCCTCTTCAACCACATCTGGAGCAAGTGGGTGCCGGGGTCGGGGCTGGCTGGGCAGGGGCTGGCTTGGCCGACTGGGGGCACCGGCAGCGGCGTGGGAGGTGCCTGGTGCCTGCTGCGCTGCAGCGCTTCGCGCCTGGTGCACCGAGTGGCGTGCAGGCGTGCCTGGGTTTGTGGGGGTGCTGCTCACGTGGAGGGCTTTGCAGGTGTGCTGAGGTGTGTGCTGTGGGCTGCTGCTCATCCCTCGCTGCTCATCCCTCGTGGCGCAGGGATGCGGACATGGAGGACACGATGCCCAGCAGCTGGAAGGACAAGAGCGGGGAGGAGAAGGCGGAGAACCAGGAGGCCAAGCTCTGATGGATGTCGCCAAGCCCTGATGGTGTAGTGACGCCGCTGGACAGAGGCCCGCGGTCTGCACGGGGCCGTGCAGCACGTGGCACACGGCCCTGCACCTGAGCCAACGTGACCGAAATGAAGTGTGGTAGCGGCGTGGCAAGCTTGACTCGGCTTGTTGCCTACTGTTGTAAAGGTTCTGTCTCTCCTCCCAATGGAGAGGTGAAGGGGCAAGGGGAGGGGCTAGGGGCATCAAGCGGCGAGGATGGGTGCAATGTGGTGTCGCCTACGTATGATGAGGAGGGAAGGTTCGCCCCGCCATGGAACGTTCCTCTTCGCACGCCCAGGGGCAGGCTCTGCTCCAGTCCAGACTGTTCACAGGCATCAGCACGATTATCAACTTATCAATTCAGCCACTCAGACAGATGAAGGAATGGAAAGGTGCAACATGGGATTTGGCGTGCTTTCCATTCCTGAGCTTTCCACCCCCGCCGCCGCTATTTAGATGCACAACGGCCCACCCCTGCCATTTTCAGTTTTCTTTATTCTGAATTCGTCTCTGGGCTTATACTTCTTGACGATTGCGACATTCTGCCGTGTAAATACGCAATCTCACATTGTCAGAAACAAAGCGAACCACGCAAGACGTGGCGGGCTGGGCGGGTGGCGGTACGACTCCGCTGCAGACTCTGCTGCAGCGGTACACCGCCTGTTCAAATCACCCAAGGGCTCTCACAAAAGGGACGTCCATGACGAGCTGGTCCCAGTGGTTTCTCAATAGAGTGCTGGCTATGGCAGCTTATGGCGGCCTTGTGACCGTCCTGCGGGCGCTGCTCAGCTGCCGGCTCCCGCTGGACCTTTCCACAAGGGACCGGCTGGGTCGGAGCCTACAGGTGCTCGCGGTGGGCGGCACCTCTGCCCCTGAAAACATGCAGGCGACGGTGCGGCTGCTGCACGCCGCGGGTGCGCCGCTGGAGGCAGACGCGCTGCTGCATGCCGTGGACCGCCGGTGCGGGGCCGGGGTGGAGGCGCTGCTGGCGTGCGGCAGGCCGGCGGTGGACACCAGCAGGAGCTGGCTGGCTGTGTTTGGCCGCGACCGGTACAGCTGTCCAGTGCACAGGGTCCTGCAGGGGCTGGCCATGCAGGTGCGGCCCGCAAGGCACGGAGCAGCCCCCCATGAGGGGCGCAGGGAAGCAGTACAAGCAGCCTGAAATGCCTGCTTTGGTACCTGCTGACCCTGGTGCACCCGCTGGGCTATGCATTTATGTGCTGCTGCAGGCCTCCTGCGGCTTCCCCATCCTGCCTGAGGAGGAGCGGGAGGCGGTGAGGATCCTGGAGGCGCTGCTGGCTGCCGGCTTCCGCCCCACAGTGTACCGGCAGGTGGCGCAGGGGCCCTTCCGCCACTCCAGCGACACACGGGTGCGTGCGGAGTTCGACCCCTTCACTGGCGACCCCACTTATAGCAAGCTTGGCACCAGGCAAGTGGGCGTGGGCGCAGGGCACAGTCCCGCCTGATGCATGTGCCATGGCAGGCGCAGGTGCTTGGGCATGCAGCGGCGGCGGCGCCTTGCACCCAGGCTCCTCACCTCCCCACCAGCGCAGGCTACTGTTTGTGGCCAGGGGCGGCTCGTTGCGCTGGAGCGCCGATGCACACCACCGCTGCCCGCGCGCCTTCAAGACGGCCGCCCGCACCCTGCTGCTGGCAGCCCGCCGTGCTGCCACTGGCTGCCTTGGCCATGACAGCAGCACCAGCAAGGTGCGCGCTGCGACGGCTGTTGGTGCTGCCGGAGGGCTGATGGCCCTCCCTCCTGACCTGTTGCTGCACATTGTGCACCTGGCGGCAGCGCCCATGGCGGCCTGGCTGTGACCGTCTGCCCTGCCTGAGGTTGGTAGAGGCAGGACCCTTTTGTTCTCATGTCGCCTAAACTTACAGATGCACCAGTGCCACCTTTTGATCGGTCTTGTAACACAGTGCCTGCCAGTGTGGCGGGGCACGGCGCTGCTCAGTAATCAGAGTTGAATGGGCTAGGTGGTGGAGCTAGGCTGAATGAAAGGGAGCTGGTCAGTAAAGAAGCAAGTGCGCTAGTCAGAATGCACCAACGTGCGCTGGGCAGCGCTCATAATACAACCCACCGCGAAGTATGCGGCGCTCTAATTTATCGGATACTGTCAATGGTGCATGCAAGTGGACATGTAACCAAGATGCAAAGGGGGACAGTCGGCACGGCACTGCATCAGTCGGGGCCTGCCGGGGGCGCGGCCATGCCAGTCGCCCTGTGGCGCACCATCTGGTGCACTTCTGCCACCCTGTCCTCCACAGAGCGCGCCTTCAGCACCTCATGCTTGAAGAACTTCAGCACAGCGCTGAACGCGTCCTCCAGCCCTCTGTCGCTGCACAGCAGCCGCGTGCCGTCGTCGGGGGCCGGCTGGCCGGGCGGCGCAAAGGGCGGTACCAGCAGTACCAGGGTGTCGGGCGCGCAGGCGGCGGCCAGCAGCACCTGGAATGGCGGCAGCTCCAGCAGGCCGCGCACCTGCAGGGTAGCAGCGGCAGCAGCAGGAACGCGGGACGAGATTGAGTGGCACAGCCATGAGCGAACCACCCTTGATTCGGGCAGTGCAGCAGCACGCTACCTTGACTGCACACATAGCGCTGGCGCTGCGGACGGGAACAGATCAGCCGGGGCAGGTCCCACCTGCGCTGAGTGGACGCCATACTTCCAGGCGGTGTATGCCAGAGGGTCGATGGCGCCGCTCCTGTCGGAGATGAAGGGCTGCTGGCCCAGCCGCGCCTCCACGGCCGCCTGCCGCTCCACGATCAGGCGCTGCAGGCGCAGGTAGGTGGCGGGGTCCCGCAGGTCGTGGCGGCTGATGTGGCAGTCCCGCATCACCTGCAGCACACGCAGCGCAGGCAGCGGTGTCGCCGGCCGTACTCTTCAGACGTCCAAGCTGCCTCCTTCCCATTGCAGGCACATCTGCACGCGGTTTGGCCTCTCATCAGTGAGGTACCGCAGGGGGCTGCCTGGCTTGCCTGCCGTGCAACCTCGCGGATGGGTGTGTAGCCTGCGGCCCAGCTGCAGGTGCGGGCGGAGCTCCGGAGCGCCTCGCACAGAGTGGTCTTGCCTGATGCACCCGAGCCCACCAGGTAGATGCGCCTGAAGCTGGGCAGTCCTGCTGGCAGCAGGGAAACTGACAGTGTCGGGACGACGGCTGCCAGCAGGCACATAATGCACAGGCACGCATCCAGGCACGGCAGCAAGGTAGCAGGCAGGCAGGCTGCCTGGCTCACTCATCCGCACCTCCATTGGAACCTGCCGCGTGCTGCAGAATGGACACTTCTGCGGCGCCCATGTCGCCACCGCCCAGCGCCGGCAGAACCGCGGACGCCGAAGGGGCCAGGCGCACCCGCAGCGGCACCCGCTCCGTGGGCTGGTTGGCCACCTGCCACTCGCTTTGCAGGGCATCCAGTGAAGGTGCGCTGGCGGCGGTGCCGCTGCCGGGGCCTGCGCTCTGGAGCTGGAAGGCTAGCAGGAAGCAGGCGGTCAGCACCTGCATCTCCAGCATAGCCAGGTCGCTGCCCAGGCAGCCCTTGGGGCCGCCGCCAAATGGAAAGAAGTTGGCACCCAGCTGGGCGGCGGTGCTGGGCCAGAAGTTGGCGAGGTCAAACTGGGAGGGGTTGGGAAAGATGGCGGGGCAGCGGTGGATGCCTGCCAGGTTGACGATCACCGTGTCGCCTGCCTGCAGCCGCACGCTGCCGGTGCTGTCGCTGCCTGGCAGCAGGAACCCGCCGGCGGGGCAGCCGCGCGCCGCCTGTCGGATGGACACAGGGCCAACTGGCTTGAAGCGCATGGCTTCATACAGCGCTGCCTTCATCTTGGGCAGGTTGGCGGAGCCCAGACAGCGCAGGCTGCCCTTGCTGCAGCCACCGCTGGCGCTGCCAGCGCTGCCTGCACGCAGGCGGATGCCATGGCGAGGGGTTGGGTGAGTGGCTGTGCCTGAGCCCATCCACACACCCTTTCTGCCCATTCGCCATCAACCCCACCCACCTGCCCTCAGCGCCTGAAGCACCTCCGCGCGCAGCACCGCCTCCAGCAGCGGCTGGTCCCGCAGCGCCAGCAGCAGGTAGCCCAGCGTCACGGAGGAGGTGTCGGTGCCCGCCAGCAGCATCTCCAGGCAGCACTGCACTGCCTGGCTGTGGCTGATGTCTCCCCTTGCCTCCGCACGCAGCACATCATGCAGAAACAGGTGTAGGCCTTTGGCACCGGGAGCGGCTGCGTCAGCCGCAGCACCATTGCCAGCGGTGCTGCTGCCCAGATGCATCAGGTGCTTCGTGGCCTGCTGCAAAGCTGACACCGACTGCAGGTGGCGGCGGTGCTGGCGCCAGCAGAAGGGCAGCAGCAGCAGGTGGAGCCAGTAGGGGCGAAGCAGAAAGAAGTTCCAGGCCTGCACAGCACAGCGCAGCATGGCACAGTCCAGCACAGCACAGCGCAGCAAGCACAAACTGCCGTAAGTCGAATGCAGTCAGTTTCCCTGGGCCCACGCCACGAGCATGCATGCTATCATTCAGCGCGCCTCCTTCCCCTCCACCCCTCCTGCCCCTCCCGCCCTGCCTGTCTGCATCTGCAAGCCCGTGAACGGACTGCCTCCCACTGCTGACTGGCAGTCGAGCACAGCAGGCCCTGCTCTGCCCAGAAACCTCACCTCAAAGTAGGCGGTCACCTTGTGCACGCAGTCCAGCGTCAGGCGGTCGTCCAGGCGCTCCACCGTGATGCCAAAGGCCAGGGCGCAGATGACGCGGAAGGTGCAGCACCTCATGAAGTCGGTGGCGTCGCTGATGGTGGCGGTGCTGAAAGTGGACTTGCCAGCGGCAGCCAGCCCTCCGAAACTGACAAATTGCTGGGCGGTGGCCTGCATGTTGTACAGCCGTTGCACGCACCAGGCAATCAGCAGCGAACGTGCAGCAGATGGGCCAGGGGGTGTGTTTGAGGTGGCAGCAAGCATCCCAGTTACCTGGAAAGCCTGGAAAGAGATGTCGGTGATGCGGTCCGCCAGACCCTTGCTTTTCGGTGCCTTGACAGCTGCAGGTAGCGAGGGCAGGCAGGATGGCATGCAGGCACGCAGGCAGGCGGGAGGTGGAAAGCACATGGCAGGTGTGCCATGGCCACAAGCTGCCTGGTGCCAGCGCTGCTGGCTGTGGATGGTGTGTCCTCACACGCACCTGCCTCAAACCACTTTCGGCCCTTCACCCAGCTCTCCACGTCATTGTTCCAAATGATACCCTGCAGCAGCAGCAGCCACTTGATATGGACCTCTGGTCATGTGGTCAGCCTTTGTCTCTCTGCCCCCAAACCGCGCACCTGGCGATACATCCCCAGCTGCTTCAGGCCCCAGTCGCTACCCAGCCTGTTCACAAACTTGAGGCTTGGACGGTGAAACACACGGTTCGCCACTTGAGGGCTGCAGCAAAGCGAGACGCCAGGTGGGAGGCTTGGCGGAAAGCAGACGGGAGCAGGTTGCCTGGTGATCGCTGGCGGCAGTCGGTTGCGTTAATCGCCCACCTGCTTGTGAACACGACGCGCCCAAAGCCGGCTATGTCCCACACGTTGATTTTGGTGTGCTTGGTGAGGTCGTCAGTAGCCACGGCCGGGTTGCGGTAGCTCTTGAAGAGGGCCAGGCGGAGCAGCCGTTGCACGGCGCCGCGGCACTGCCATCCAACCAGCACCACGGCATCCAGCACGGCTGTGAGGACTGCTGTCTCCATTGTGGGAACGCAGAAGACAGCAAGCAGAGTATGGGCTGGCCTGTCCAGGGAGCCGAGGAGTGTGTCCAGGGAGCCGAGGAGGCACCACACCAGTTGCCTGTCAGACATGCGTACCCCGGCTGGCAGCGCTCAGGCGAGTGGCTACAAGGGGTTCAGAGGGGCCACTAGTATGCCGCCTCCAAGGAGCATAGCTCACTAGTAGATGCTCCTGTCATCCTTCTGCCGCAGCTGCCAGCGTGCTGTGTAGAGGGAGTGGTGCTGGCCTCAGGTGTCATGGATGTGACGGTACGAAAGCTCGCAGTCCTTCCCGGCTCAGCCTCGATGTGCCCTGTACCTGCCGCTGCCCTGGCGTAGCGGGGGTGCCTGCCGATGTGACCTCGTGGTTGAGTGTCTCTGCAGGTGAAGCTTCCCTGGCTGCCGTGTGATGCTCGGGTGAGGCACGGGTGCCCTGGCACATGCCCGGCTGGCCGCTGCTGGCATTTGCCCTGCCTTGAACAACCATGGATGGCTGGTAGGCTGAGATGTGGAGGAGCATCACACCACCATTCTGGTAATGAGATGCCCTGCTCGCTTTCTGTGAATCTTCAAACCCTACAGGACCGGCTGTGGCGGCTGCAGCGGCTGTGCAACATGACCACATATGAGCGCAGCATGGAGGCGCTCTGTGAGCTCCAGCAGGAGCAGGCGCCTGGTGCAGCGTGCCGCCTGCTCGTGGAGAGCTGGTTCAATGAGGGCTGCATTAATGCAGCACAGCAAGCAGGTAAGATACTCGCATACTTCACCATGCCCAGGCTGCGCTTCCTTGAGATCTGTGTCGTGCCTGCATGCCCACTTCAGAGCGCCTGTGGTTCCCCCTGCTGCGTTGCCTGCTAAATAGATAGCATAAGATTATGCCACGTTGCAGATGCCAAGCAGCTGCACCCCGCCTGCATCGCCACATGCAATGATAGCCAGTGCGAAGCCATTCAGGCCGCGGCTGCACAGCCTCTGACGCTCATCCACGGTCCCCCCGGCACCGGGAAGGTAGGGTGCTGCGCTGCTGTATACCCGATCGGCTTGCCATGCCATCCACAGTCTCCTACTGTACAGCGGTTCTCTCCCCAGTAGGGAGCCAGCAATGCGCCGATTGCTGCGCCCGCTGCCTGTTGTGCAGACCCACACCATCGCCCACCTGCTGGAGAATCTGTTCCAGAAGCGGCAGGAAACTCCAGTGCTGGTCACAGCTGGCACCAACGTGGCTGTGGACAACATCCTGCGCAAGCTGCTCTCCTGCCTGGGCGCCGCCAGCAGCCAGGCACAGCCAGGGCGCCTGCTGCGAGTCGGCGACGCTGGCAATGTGGGCAAGGACCTGCAGAGGTAAGCGCCTGCCATTCCCGCCCGGCCAGCAGGCAGGGAGGGAGTCAGCTGCACCCAGCACGCTTCACGCCATGCCAATGCCTGGCACCTGCAGGTACTGCCTGGAGGCACAGGAGGGCCTGCGCTCGCCCTACGGCTTCGACTCGCGCCGAGTGCGCAAGGCGCTGCGCCATGCTCTGGCGGTATTCACTACCTGCACAGGCACCGGCTCGAAGCTGCTGGACGGCTGCCGCTTTGGCGCCGTGGTGGTGGACGAGGCCTCCCAGGTTCTGTTTGAAAAGGCTCTGGTGCCTGTGCATGGGCTGCGCGGGAAGACCAGATGAAACCCAGCACAAGGTGTCTGCGTCCATAAGGAGAGCTGTCTTTGTGCTGCCAACTCATTCAGGTCACAGAGCCGTGTTCCATGGTGCCTCTTGTGCGAGCGCCTGCCGCCCGATGCATACTGGTGGGAGACCACCAGCAGCTGGGGCCTGTGGTCACCCAGGAGGGGCAGGCAAGACTGTGCAGGGCGGATGGGGGCAACAAGTCACCCCTCCCGTGTGCCTGCGAACCAGCCAGCAAGCCGGGCAGCTTGCCAACCTGCCAGCCTACTTTCCAAACTCCTGATCTCACGCTCCGGCTGTGCTGGCGCTCCCCATGCCTGCAGAAATTTCGGCTGGACATCTCCCTGTTTGAGCGCTGCAGCCAGTCGCTGCAGCCGCTGCTGCTGGACACTCAGTACCGCATGCACCCAGCGATTGCCTCCTTTCCAAACTCGACTTTCTATGGGGGCAGGCTGCGCAGCAGCCCCACCACAGGCGCCAGCACACCGCCCCCACCCTTGCCCGCCCCAGTCACCTTCATCAACGTGGCAGATGGGCGGGAGTCTCTTGGCAGCTCAAAGTACAATGCCAGGGAAGCAGATGCAGTTGTTGGCCTGCTAAGGCAGCTGCTCGGCAGACGCAGTGGCAGCAGCGATTGCGGCACAGTCGGGGGAGCAGACATCGGTGTTGTGACCCCCTACCGAGCCCAGGCTGAGCAGCTGCGCAGGCGGACGCAGCAGCTGTGGCCTGAGCTGGAGATCTCAACCGTGGATGCTTTCCAGGGGCGAGAAAAGGTGAGCAGCCAGCAATGCATCCCCATCCCTACATGGCCCACACATGAACGGCGCAGATGGGGGCCTTGCTGCTGATCCAGCCACACTGGCGTCTGTCTTGTCGCAGGAAGTCATCATCATCAGCCCAGTGCGTGCCAACAGCTGCGAGCGGCTGGGCTTTGTGTCGGACCGCCGCCGGCTCAACGTGGCCCTCACCCGCGCCATGCGGGCTGTGGTGGTTGTGGGCCACCGGGAAACACTGAGCACCAGCCCGCTGTGGCGCAGCTGGATTGAGCAGGCCACGCATGCGCTGTAGGCTGGCGCTGGCGGTTCAGCCGCCATCATCCACACTGGGCACACCTCCACTCAGTTTGCGTGAATGGCACTACTCTGCTTTGATGCCTCTGCTTTGCATGGATGCCACATGGCCAGTGGTAGCGTATATAACACAGATCAGTAATCAGGATGCCTAAAGGAATTCCCAGTCAGAATGGTGCAAGAGCTCAATCTGCATTCAGCACTCCATGCGTTGCAGTGAACAGCCGAGCCAGGAGGGAGTTGGGTGGGCCGCCTAAGGGCTGTGCTCCAGAGCTGGGCTGGGCTCAGCTGAGCCCCGCCAACTCCCAAAGCTGCCCCGCCTCGTGTGTGCCCAGCACACAAGCCAGCGCGGTTCCCCCGCCCCTTGCTGCAGCAGCTAGCTGAGGCTGGGCGGCTTGCGCTCGTTGATTATCTTCATCACCTCCTCCGCATGCACCTGCTCATCCACGTTGCGCCACACCTGCAACAGCGCCAGAGCACCACGGGGCACCACCGGTGGGTCTGAGTCCTCAAGCAGGCTACTTCTAATGCACACATGCCACCCACTCGGCGCCACCGCTCTGTGCCTCCCCGTCCCCCCGCTATGTGCTCTTCCAGCCTCCCGCCTCTCACCTTGTCCTTGCTGTTGGAATCTGGGTGGTACATGCGTACCGCCAGGCGATACGCCTCCTTTAGCTTCCCCGCCTCGCACGGCACCTTGAAGATGCGCAGCACCTGCACCGAAGTAGCAACATGGCAGGCAGCAAGAGCGGTGGCGGTGAGGCGGGGTGGAGGATGCAAGGCAGCAGCGCGACGCCCAGGCCAACAATGCCTGAAATGCGCATCCTTGCTCAGCACAGGTCGCCACAAGGCCGCCGCTGGGCGCCAGCACAGCTTGCCTGGGCAAAGGAGGTGAGGCCGGCCACCTTGGCCTGGCAGATGTGGCGGTGGAAAGCGCGGCGGTCTGCCGCATGCTCAGCGCTTCTCGCTGCCGCCGCCGCTGCAGCCGCTCGCGCGTCCCCTCCCTGCGCCACCCCTGCTGCTGGCGGTGGCGGTCCCGAGCCCGGCACGGCGCCAGCTGCTGCGGCTGCCGCGCGCTCGGCGTGGAGCCGCTGCTGGGGCGTCTTGCGGGGCGCCGCCGAGGCGCCCGCCGCCGGAGCGTACCCAGCAGCCACCGCAGCGGCGGCGGCATGGGCCTGCTGCACAGCCGCCGATGCCGCCGCATGCTGCTCCTTCTGCAGCCTCTTGAGCTCCTCATCCGTCGGCATGTTCTTCTCCCGCCACGACCTGGCTATGGCCTCCCAGGCCTGCTGCTCGCGCCTGTCCGGCTGCGGCGCGGCGGCCTTGGCGTCCCCCGTCGAACGCCGCAGCCGCTTGCGACCGCCCAGCTTCCTGCCGCCCCGCCGCGAGGCAGATCCCGGCTCCACATCAAACTGCCGCTTGAACTGCTGCGCTGCCGCAGAGTCTGTGAACTGGTAGGCCCCCCGTCCGCCGCCACTGCCACCTTCGCCGCCGCTGCCGCCGCCTGCGCCAGAGCCAGCGGCAGCACCGGGTGCAGGACCAGGGCCTGCAACAGGCGGCGGCGCTGCCACATCCTGACGGCCATTGGCCTGCTGCTGCTGTGGCTGCGGCGGCGGCGGCTGCTGCTGGTTAGCATCCAGGCCCACCCCACGCTGATCCAGGTACTGCCTGGCCGCCTGCTCCGAGGCAAACGTTTTGTACTCGCCGCCGCGGTACCCCAGCACCTGGCCTGCACCAGCAGCCGCGCCAGACAGCGAGGGACGTGCTCAGTCAACGAGCAGAGCAAGCATGCGGCTTGAGGGGCGCACGGCGGCTGCCCAGGCGGCCAATGGGCACCCTGTGCTGGCCTGAAGCATTGCCTGGAGCAGCAGCCGCATCGGCCCACCCCCTCCCAACCAGGCCACACACACACACACACACACACACACACGCACCTGCGCACTCCGCCCAGCTTGTGTAAAGGCCCGGCCGCCGCCCTTTAGACACAACATACCACTTGGTCACAGCAGCAGAGGTGGCAGCTGAGATGTCGCCCACCCCATACAGCCACTGCTGCTGCTGCTGGGCTGGAGGGCCCCGCCCCGCCGCCGGTGCAGCTTCCGCCTGCGCACCAGGCAGCTGGCTCATCCCTCGGCTGGCGGTTGCTGACGACTGCACTCCCTGCGGCCCAGGCCTCTGCGCCTGGCCGTCAGCCTTGGCCGCCACCGCTGCCGCGGCTGCGTCCTTTGCCTGCTCTGCCTGCTCATCACTGCTGTGCGCATCATCGCTGCTGCTGCCGTCCGCCATCTCTTCATCGCTGCTGCTCTCGCTGCTATCCAAGAGCTCCAGCACCTCCGGCTGCTGCGGCTGTTGAGCCGATTGTGGTGGCTGCTGCGGCTGCTGCTGCACAGGCAGCTGTGCAGGCTGCTGCCCCTGCTGCGGGTCAGAGCGCGGTGGCTGCTCCTGGCGCCTGATGTGGTGCAGAAGCATGCGCTGCCGCTTGGCCAGCGGCATGAGCACCAGCTCATCATCACTAGAATCAACTGCAGCCGGCTCTCCTGCTGCCGGCGCTGCTGCCGGAAAGTGCTGCTGCTGCTGCTGCTGTCGCTGCAAAGCCGGTGCTGCGGGCTGCGCGCCGGCAGCGGCATGTGGCATGCCTGCCACGGGGGCCGCAGCTGGTGCCGGCCCCTCGCCCGCGCTGCCGCCGCCGCCGCCGCTGGCAATTGCTGCCTTTGCCGCGCCCTGCCGCCGCAGGGCCTGCCACGGCGTCAGTTTGACTCTGCCGCTGCTTGTTGTAACCACCTTGAATCTGCCGGAACTGCTGTGGGTGCCCGGCGCTGTGGCCGGCTTCGCAGGGGCCGCTGCCGCAGGCTGGGTGCCTCGTGCTGCCGCTGCTGCTGCTGGGGGGGCTGGTGCCGGTGCAGGCGCAGGCGAGGCTGCAGCGCTGCCACCCGCCTCGGAGTGGTGGTGAGACCTGCTCGGCCGCGCTCCGGGGCGCCCCCGTGGCTGCATGCTGTGCCGCTGCACAGCGGCTCCCGCCTCGCCCGCTTTACTTTTCGCCGCCGTGGGCAAGTCCACCACCTCGGGCTTCGCCCCGGCAGCTGCACTCCCTGCTGCAGCGGCGGGCGGCGGGCGGTGGGCCTCAGCTGGCAGGCCACCGGCGGCTACACCCAAGTGCCCGCCATTGGCTGCCCCGCCGTCACCTGGTGCACACGTCTGCACCAGAAGCCACACAGCGTATGGCACTACATTAGCAGCGCATGGCACGACAGGCTGGGCACAACAAATGAAAGGCAGGCAGGCAGGCAGGCAGGCTGGCGCTTGGTCCCCGAGGGTGGCAGGCGGTGGCGCTGACCAGTGGGTCGTAGCCCAGCACCGTCGCAGCCGCGGCTTTCAGCTCATCAAACTGTGACGCGCAGAGGGTGGCCTGCCGTATGCCCTCCTGCAGGTGATGGAGGGCGGGTGTGAGTCGGCCAGTTGGGCAAGACCGTGCGCCCGGTCTGCAGGACGCTTGGTTAGTCTCAGGCTCACATCCAGGTCGGCGAGAGCCCGGTAAGCACTAGCGAAAGTGGCTGGGCTCAGCATCCTCTCCCTCGGCACGCCATTTCTGCCAGCGCGAACGTCCCGGAAAGACACCCAAGAGCGCTAGACGAAGGTAGGAATGCTTTCAGGATCAAGCACGACTGCAATAGGTAGCCGCCACCGAGGCGGGCGCCAGCAGGGCGCCGTTTGGCAACAAGGTGCGGTTCGGCAACAGGTGGTGAGGGTCACATACTTCCTAGCAGTGGCACATGAATGTGGGACAAAATATGAACCATTACGCAAGAATCTCTACCCAACTGGTGCTGGCACCAACCGCGTCACCGCAGCACTCCAGCCCTGGCAGTGGCCGCCGCCCCGCCGCCCTTGCCGCCGCCCTGCAGCACCGGCAGCACCGTCTTGCGCCAGGTGTCGTGCCAGCGCGCCATGCTGGCGCCCTCCACCCCGCGGCGCAGCTGCGCCAGCAGCGCGCTGCCGCCGGCGCCGCCGCCCGACACCCGGAAGCACTCAACCAGCTGCTGGGCCAGCTGCTGAGGCGTGGCAAACAGCAGGCCGTTGTGTTCGTGGGACACCAGCTCCCCGATGCAGCTGTAGGTCAGCGCGCAGACCGGCAGGCCGCAGCCAAACATGTCAACCACCTGCAGGAGACGGATGGGGCCGGGCAGATGGGCCGGTGGGGATATCACAGCATGTTGTGGCGGGGCGGGCAACGGCATGGAGCAGCGCTGGGGAACAGCTGGCATGCCCTCAAGCTTGAGTGCCCCATTACCCCCCTTGTTTGCAGCAGCTGAGCCCTGCCCCCTGCTCCCCACACCCCCATGGGCCGCTCGCCTTCATGGGCAGGTCGAGGCCGGAGGAGGAGGCGTGCAGGGAGACGCCCAGGTCTGCGGATCCCAGCAGGCGGGGGTAGTCCTCGGGCTCCAGCCACAGCGTCCTGCGAGGAGGGAGGCAGGAGGGGCGCATACCAGGATGGGAGCAAGCAGGATGGGGGCACGCAACGGGCAGCGGCAGCGGGCGGCAGAGAGGGGGACCAGCGGGCCATGCCTGCGGCGGGCACACAGCAGGCGGCTTGGGTCCAGCCGCGGCGACGGCAGGACGGGCCCGGCGCTGCACAGCGCGCGGTACCGGACGCGGCGCTCAGAGCTACATACAGCAGCCCAATATACTACAATATGCCCACCTGAATGCCACATGGCGCAGGTCCATGCCCGCCATGCGCTCCTCATATTCTGCCCGCTGCGGCCCGCGCCCCGTCACCAAAAACAGGAGGCACGGGTAGACGGAGGGGCGGCGGGAGCGCCGCACTCGGCCGTCGTACAGCTGCGCGGCGGGGCGGGCGGGCCCGGGAGGGGATTTGAGAGGGTAGGTGGGGGGAGAGTAGGGCAGGGCAGGGCGGTAGGAGCACGGAAAGAAGGCGGCGGGTGTGGCAAAGGGACATGGCTAGTGCTCCTCCCCGCTCCCTCTCCCTGCCCGCCGCCCTCGCCCCTCTCCTCCTCCCCTCTCGCATTTTACCTCTGCCGCCTTGAGAAGCAGCCCAAAGTCTTCATCCGGCGTCCAGCTCGTGCTGCTGACCACCAGCGCCGGCCGCCCCTCCCGCTCCCGCACCGCACCCGCCGCCGCAGCCGCAGAGCCCTTGCGGGCGCCGATGCCGTTGGCGGCCACCTGCTGCGTGCACAGCGTGTGCTGACCTGGCGCCAGCTGGCCGCTGGCATACAGCTCCGCCACAAAGTCATGGGGGTGCAGCCCCTGGGCCAGCACCGGCTGCAGCTTGAGCAGGAGCGCGTGCTTCTCCTGCAGGCAGGGGTGGGGGTGACCATGCATCCGTGTGTATCATGGTGATGCAGGGCGTGTGTGCGCATGTGTGCTGTTGTTGGCATGGAGCCAACGAGGCAGGGCAGGAACTAATGATCGCCAGCTAGCTGACGAGCGAGCAAGGCCAGGCGTGGGCCCACAGTGCAGGCGTGGGCCCACTGTGCAGCGCAGCGCAGCGCGCCTGCAGGCTGGCTGGTCGGAAGAAGTCTGGGGGTCGGTCGTAGAAGACGGTAGCCGGTACCGCCCAGTGCCACGCCAGCTCCACCTGCATCGCCCGCGTCACGCACAGCGAGGCATGCGCGGCGCGGCCCCAGTACCGCTCGTACCGCTCCGCCAGCTGGACCTGCGGCGGCGCCACGGCAGGGCTTGAGCGGACCGCAGGGCGACTGTGGGCATGGCGGCCCCTCCTGCGCGAGCTCGCCCGCCCCCGCGGACGTACTCCACTCACCACGGGGTGCCCCCTGCCCATGCCGATGGCCATGAGCGTGTAAGCAAAGTTGTGCCAGTCAAACACGAGGCGGGCGCGGTGGCGCAGCGCGGCCAGGCGGCACACCAGCACGGTGGGAATGGCGGGCGGCAGCTGCAGCAGGATGGCGTCGGGGCGGGGCAGCGCCACCAGCAGCATCCACAGCAGCGTGGCCAGCTGGAACAGCGCCTTGGCGAGCAGCGCCAGCAGGCGAGGTAGGCGGCGGACCAGTGGGGGCCTGCGCACCGGATAGCAGCGAAGCGGGTGGTGTGTGGTGGGGGTGGCATGAGCTAGCGAGATGCGTTCAGGACGAGCACGCTGGCTCGTCTTCTTATCCTGTGCCGGCTGCCGCCAGGCCTGAACCGACAGCAGGCTGGCGCGTCCCCTGACCCCTGGGCACGCCGCCAGCCGGGCTCACAGGTCAGGCAGGTATCGCACGTCGAGGGTGCCGGCAGCGGCATGCGCTTGCAGCTCTTCAATCAGCGCCGCGCCGCGGTAGCCGACCAGCACCACTTCGTAGCCGGGCTGCACCACAAACAAAGTCGCAGGGCGTGAAAAGTGCGGTGCTGGGCAAGGACGGCGCAGAGCAGCGGCGCGGGGCAGGCGGCAGCGGCGGGAGGGGCAGCGGCGCACCGTCTTGCACAGCGAGGAGGCGTGGTATTGCATGCGGGGGGACCGCCCCACGTCCCCCAGCACCATCACCCAGCAGCGGGGCATGGTGAGCCAAAAGCGTGATGGTCTTCAAACAACGGAAGCGTAGCCCCCTCAAAACGCCCGTGATCAACCGTGCATCCTTTTCACAACCGCAGCAAAGCGCGCTGATTATCCGGCTGCCGCAAATTCAATGGCGCCGCCAGCAGGGCGGGCGCCGTCAAGAAAGTCCCCGCACAGGTGCCACTACCGTCCCTTCCTGCTCTTTTCCTGGGCCTGTTTGACGGTGAATGGACATTTTGGTCAGAACTAGGATGTATTGTTCTGGAAACTGAAAGAAAAAAATCTTCCAGGTCATCCTGCCACCAGGAACTGGGCGGCAGCGGCAGGGCACAAGTCAGATAGGGAGAGCCAGCGAAGATTCAGGATTAACAAGTCTTGATGGCCTGGATCGGCGATTACAGATTTGGCCGCCACAGGGCGCAGCCACACTCAGAACGCTCACTTGCCCTTCCGTCGCCGCGCCGGTTCCTGCCTGCCGCTGCCGCTAGCGGGGGCTGCTGCAGCCGCCGCATCATCCTCGTCCATTTTGTCGCCCTTCTTTGCCTTGTACCCCTGGGAGAAGCCCTTCTTGAAGCTGCTGCGCAACCGTACCGCAAAGCTGTACGGCACCAGCAGCTTCACATACACCACCAGCACCAGCAGGGCCAGCATGCCGCATACCTAGAACGTAGGGGAGGGGAGGGGAGGACAACAGCAAGACAGCAGGCGTTGGCATGGGTGTGAGCAGCGGCAGCGAGGAGCCTCGACAGTACTACAGCAAGGATGGCGCCAGCGACGAGGCTGGAGAGGTAGGCATGCGAGGCCTCTCAGTTTACCCACCTGGCCTAGCACCCAGACGGGGCCCCGCGCTTTCTTCAGCCACCGGTCCAGCTTGAACATGTGGAGCATCATGCGGTGCAGGAGGGAGCTGGCGGCGGCACGGAAGCCCTCGCCCTCCTGCAGGCGGGCAGCGCAGCAAGATCTGATTGGGTGACCTGCAAAGTTTCCCACTTCAAGGCGCCAGCAGCGCCAGCCCAGCACCATCCTGCCTCTCCCACCTTTTGCAGGCCCACGGCCGGTCCGGAGGCCAGCCCGGCAGCCACCGCCTCCAGCAAATACACGAAGTGCTGCTGCCCTGCAAACCGTTTGCTGACATTGGCCTTGGCAGTCATTAACATGCTGACAGATGACTCAAACTCCTCGCCTGTGGACTGCAGCAGCAGCAGCAGCAGCAGCGAGCAGAGGGGCAGAGGCAGCTTGGGAGGGTGTGTTGAGGTGGCCGCAATGGAAGTGTGCTTTGTCCTGCACGCACCCGCTGCCATCACCCGCCGATGCAGCCCACCCTACGCTTCCTGTGCCAGGCATCACAGGCCGTGTGCAGCGCCACACACCTGCATGTGGGTGGTCAGCTGCAGCGTGCACCGCCGCGCCGCCTTGCCCGCCGCCAGCTCCAGCGCCAAGCGCCGCGCCGCCGGCAGCAGCTCTGCCGCAGGCACCACCTCATCCACCAGCCCCACCGCCTGGGCATCCTCTGAAGAGATGGGCTGACCGCTGAGCATCAGGTTGAGCGCCTGCAGCCAACATCCACCAGTCCCGAACAACAGTTGGATCCAGGCAGCCAGGCAGGCTTGGACGCAATACGGTTGTGTGGCGACATGGCAGGCGGCCCAGTGGCCCGCGCACAAGCAGGAGACACGCTGGCTGCGTCGCCGCCACCCACCTGCTCCACGCCCACCAGGCGCGGCAGCCGCTGGGTGCCGCCCAGGCCCGGCAGCAGGCCCAGGCGCACCTCGGGCAGCCCCACCTGCGCGCCTGCAGCAAGAGAAGCAGCAGCAGCGGGAGTGCGGGCAGTGGACTTCGCACCACCAACACCATCGAGTCAGCCAGCATGGCACTGCCTGTCCAGGTCCGGTGCTGGGCTGCCTGCCTGCACGTGTGCAGATCCCTCGCCAGCAAAACCTGCTTGCCTGCGGCGCAGACGCGTGCATTGCAGGCCAGTGCCAGCTCGCAGCCGCCGCCCAGCGCAACACCCTCGATGGCGGCCACCGTGGGTTTCACGCCGTTCTCAAGCAGCGCCGTGAACTGTGCCAGCACCTCCTGCCGCTCCGCAAACAGTCTCTCCATGACGGGCGTGCCAAACAGTGTAAAATCAAAGCCGGCGCAAAACCTGCCTGCAGGCAGCAGTCAGTGCGGGGCCGGTGAGTCGGTGGAAGGTCACTCGGGAGCTCACAGTAGCAACAGGCACATGGGAATGCCGGCGATCTTGCCTCCTGCTCCCGTCAGCAGAATGGCCTTCACATCCGGGTTGCTTTGCGCCTTGCGAAGCTGCACAAACAGGCTTTCCAGCACTGCAGCAGGGCTCCGCACGCGGGCGGGCACTTCAGCAGCGGCCGTCGCGGCGGCAGCGGCGGGCACCTCTCGCTGTCGGCACGGCAGGCGTGAACATAAAACGCACATGTGGGCTGCAGGGCGTTGACAGGAGGGGAGCTGAGCGTCAACGTCGCCACTCCTGCTGCAATGTCCACGGTGACTAAGGGGGCCGATGGGGGAGCCATGGCTGCCTAGAGGACGAAGTCTGGAAGACGAAAAAAGTCACAGTGACGCCCATTGCGTGTAGAGCCGCTCGCAGACGAGTGGGAGGTACATGTACTTCAGGCCGGCAGATTGCTCGCCCATGCCGGGAGTAGGGGAGAGACCAAGCTGCAATTCGTGCTGGCATCGCACTCTAGCTCGCCACGAGTCCTGGCCCACCGGCTCGCAGCGGGTGCTCGGCACGCAGCCGGCTCACCGCGGCAAAGGCGGCAGGCGGTCTGCATTGTTACTCCTGGGACTGCTGTGTCGCTCCAGACACTGCCCAGCGGTTGGGGCAGCAGGGCCGCAAAACCTTGCGTGTGGTGGCTGCGGAAGATGCCGGCTTCTGGCGCCAGCCTCCTGCGCGGCACACATGCATGCTTCACGGGCAGGAAGCCGGCCCGCGTGGTGCACCCCAGGTGCGTGCGCCCACGGCCCGGGATAGCACTGCCTGCCCAACAGCCGTGCATTTCGTTTGCTCTGAGAGGGGAGGGCGCCTGGAGGGCGCCCGCCTGATCAGCAGCGTCCTTGCCGCTGCCCGCTGCAGGCTCCGCCCGGCGGTGGCGGCCAAGGACCGACCCGCCTCCGCCGACGGCGCCGAGGAGGAGCCTAGCCACAGCACAGAGCTGCAGCGAGTAGATTCTCACGCCGAAGGCGCCCTAACCTATCAGTTTGGGGCCAAGGGCCAGCCGATGGTAGCAGCACGGGCAGCAGCAGCCGGGGCGGCAGCAGCAGCGCCTGCGCACCAGGTGCAGCACGCGTCTGCTGGCACCAACGGCAGCGCGGCCGCGGCCTCGCCCTCGGCAGCAGCGGTGCTGCCGCAGCACGCGAGCCTGGCGCCGCCGCCCTGGCAGGTGGAGGAGGAGGAGGCGGGGCCCGCGGGCGGCTACAGCAGCAACGGCAGCGGCAGCAGCAGCCACGACCTCCCATACGTGCGCAACGGCTGGTACGCTCCGCCCTCTGCAGCCGGCACTAGCAGCAGCGAGCAGCACGGGGCCGCCAACGGCGCCGTGGCGATGGACCGGCGCGGTGGCGGCGGCGGCCGCGGCGGCCGCGACGGCGGCGGCGGCCGGCGGCGGCGGCAGCAGGAGTACTTTGGGGGCGCGGCGAGCGCGGCGGCGGCGGCGGCGCTGGCTGCCGAGGTGGCGCAGGGCCTGGACTACATGGAGGCGCAGCCCGCGGCGGTGGTGGCCGTGTACGAGGCGCTCTGCGACGGCCGCCAGCTCGACGAGGCTCTGGCGGTGATCAAGGAGTGCATCCGCGCCAGCCGCACCGACGTGCTGGGCAGGTGGGGGCGCCAGCAAGGCGCACGCTGGCTTGCCCGACGCTGCTGGATGGCGCCGGCATGCGTCCCTCCTCTCGCCAGCCCCAGCTGGAGCCGCCACGCTGGCTGCGCGCCTCCACTCCTGGCCCGGCCATGCGATCCCACCCCGCCTGCCCTACCCCACCCTGCCCCGCCCCGCCCCCGGCCCTGCCCGCAGGCTCAAGCACTACCGCTTCCTGCGCCCCGCGGCCACCCTGCGCGCCGTGAAGCAGGCGCTGCGCTTCGTGCAGCTGCTGCCGCGGCAGTACGCCGACGCGCGCACCTACAACATGCTGCTGCGGGTGTGCGCTGAGGCGGGGGACCTTCGCAACGCGCTGCACGTGGCCGACATGCTGCAGGCGGCGGGGCTGCGCATGGACTCCATCCTCTACACCACCCTCATCTCAGGTGTGTGTGTGTGTGTGGGGGGGGGGGGGGGGAGGGGCGCCCTGGGCTGGTCCGTGCTTTTGAGGGGCACCGCCACCCAGCATGTGATCGGCCTGCCAGCTGGTCTTTGGGGGCACCGCCAGCCAGCCGGCCGTCCCGCCAGCCAGCCGGCCTTCCTGCCAGCCAGCTGGCCGTCCTGCTGCCGCAGCGTGTCCTTTTGCCCCATGCACGCACGCACCCCCACCCCCGGCCTGCCGCCCCGCCCCTCGCCCCTCCCCGCAGCCTGCGCGGCGGCGGGGGACGCGGAGAAGGCGTTCCAGCTGTACGGCCAGATGCGGGCGGACGGCGTGCCCGCAGACAAGATGGTATATTCATCGGTCGTCAAGGCCTGCGCCCAGCAGATTGACCGCCTTCCGCAGTCGGAAAGGTGGGCCGAGGCCCGGGGCTGGAGGGTCTGAGGGGGGGGCAGCCGAGGCTGGGCTGGGGAGGCGACAGGCTGGGCGAGGGGCTGGGCTGGGGAGGAACGCGAGGGCGGGGCTGAGGGGAGCGGACAGGGAGGGCGGAGGTGTGTGGGGAGTCTGGGAGGTGCCCGCGAGTTCCACTCGAGCCCGTTGCTCGCCGCGCGCGCCGCTGCCTGCTCACGCCACCGCCTCGCCCTCGCCGCGCCGCAGGCGGCAGCAGCTGGTGCTGCTGGAGCGGGCCTTCAGCCTGGTGGAGGACATGAAGGGGGCCAAGATCCCCACCGACGCCGCGGTGTGGAACGCGCTGGTGACGGCCGCGGGGCGTGCCGCGCAGCTGCAGCGCGCCTTTAACGTGCTGGAAGACATGATCCACTTTGGCACGCGCCCCAACGACCGCACCTACGCCTCCCTGATCGACGCCTGCGCGCGCGCGGGCGACAAGGGCCTGGCGCTGCGCGTGTACCGCAAGGCGCAGCGCGAGGGCTGCGCTCGCACCCTCATGGTCTACTCGGCCGCGGTGCACGCCTGCATCCAGGCGCACGACGGCTGCGACAGCGAGGCGGTCATGGGGATCTACGGAGACATGCAGAGGTGTGTGTGTGTGTGTGTGTGGTGGGGGGCTGGAGGGTGAGCTGGCTGCTGTGTGTGTGCGCGCGCGCGCGTTTGTGTGGATGTGTGTGTGCGTGTGTGGATGTGTGTGTGGGGGGGTGGGTGGCATTGGGAGGAGCTCTCTGCCGTGCCTCGTGGTGGCAGCAGGAGCAGGAGCGGCGTGTGGATGCCAGTTGCTGCTGCAAACACGCGCGGGCCGCCCTCTGCCTGTGCACCTCCTGCGGACTGGTTGGGGCAGGTGTGCCAGCCCGTGGCTGCTGCCGCTCACCCTGCCGCTCACCCTGCCCCGCCCTGCTGCCCGCTGCTCTCTCCTGCAGGAGCCACGTGGCTCCCGACAACCAGCTGTTTGGCATGCTGATGAAGGCGGCGGGTGCCAGCGGCAACCTGCAGCTGGTGCTGGACCTGCACGACGAGATGGAGCGGGAGGGGCTGCGGCCCTGCACGGTGGGTGGAGGCTGGGGCTGGGGCCGACACGTGCGTGTGCACGTGTGCGCGCGTGTGTGTGTGTGTGTGCTGAGGAGGTGGGCGGTGGGAGTGGTGGCATGGGGAAGGTGCAGGGAGGCGAGGAGAGGCAGGGGCTATGAGGCGGGGGCCAGCAAGTGGAGGCGCCCGGGCGGCAGCCTCGCCCGTCGCGGCGCCGCCCCTGCCGCCGCACGGCGCCAGAGCGCCGATGCCGACCCCCGCTGACGCCGCCCTTGGGCGCACGACTGGCGCAGGGTACTGAGTCTGCGCTGATGGCGGTACACATCCGCAACGGCCAGGTGCCCGAGGCGCAGGCGGTGTACCGCTCGCTGCGGGCGGCGGGGCAGTGGCCGCACGCCTACGCCACCAACGCCCTGCTCAACGCCTATGCCAACAACTTCAGGTGGGCCTGCTGCGGGGGAGGGGTGGGAGGGAGATGTGTGTGGGAGGGGTGGAGGGGAGGCGAGAGGGATGTGTGGAGGGGAAAGAGGAGGGAGGGGTGGAGGGCAGGGCTGCACTCTGCGCCTGCCTTTTAGCTGTGCTCTGCGCCTGCCGTCTGGCCTCGTCTCGGTCCCGCTCGCCGGCTGCCGACCCGCGCCTCCTGCCCTCCCGCCCCCTGCCCCCTCCTCCACCTTGCGCCGCCGCAGGTTGGGAGACGTTGTGAGCCTGGTGTGCGACATGGCGCAGGGCGGGCTGCGCCCAGACGGCTTTACCTTCTCTGCCATCTTCAACGCCTGCCAGCGCGCCGACGAGGCTGAGCTGGCGCTGGACGTCGCCAGGTCAGCGCCGCCGCTGCCGCCGCCGCCGCCGCCGCCGCCGCCGCGTCTTCCGCCCCCCCCTGCTGCGCTGTGTGCAAGGGCACCGACAAGCTGTGGCCGCCCGCAGCTGCCGGCTGCTCCTGCTGCAGCCTGCGCCTGGGCGGCGCCTGCCTGCCTTGGCGAGCGCCTCTCAGCAGCCCGCCGCCTGTCGCGTGCCTGGGCCCTGCTGCAGGCTGATGAAGCTGCGGGGCGTGCGCATGGACGAGACGCACGCTGTGATCCTGCTGCGCACCTGCTACAACCGCCTGCGCCAGTCCTGGGTGCCCGGCGGCTACCCGCCCCACCGCGCCGACGCTGGCGCCGGCGGCGGCCCGCTGCTCGGCAGCCGGCGCAGCCAGCTGCGGGAGCGGCTGCTCGAGGTGTGTGCCTGAGGAGCCTCGGCAGGGCCGGGCAGCTCCTGCCCTCGACCCCTGCCGCAGCCGCCTGCTGGCGTGGCTGGTGTCTTTCCTGCTGGCGCAGCAAGGGCACGGCTCGCCCCAGCTCATACAAAACGACGTCGTCGGCTCGCTGTGGTGACACGCCCGCCCGCCTTGGTTCCGGCCCTCTGGCCCTCTGCCTCTGCAGGCGCTGACGCCGCGCAGGCGCCAGGTGGAGCTGCGGGAGCCCGTGGATGTGGCCTGGGTGGCCCAGGCCTTTGGCATCTACCGCGAGGCGGTGGCGGCGGGCGTCAAGCCCAGCATGCACATGCTCAACCGCATGCTCATGTGCCTGCGGGTGGCCTGGGAGGGCAAGCAGGTGCGGCTGCTGCCTGCTGCTCTGCTACTGCGGCGGCAGCTGCGGCTGCTGCGGCTGCGGCTGCGGCTGCATCAGGCCGCCATTCGCTCGGTGTGGCGGCCTTGTCGGCGCTGATGCTGAATGCCGAGGAGGAGGCGCGGCTCTGCCTCTGGCTGCGGACCTGATCTCCCCCCGCCTCTGCCGCCGCCGCAGGCGGCCGCCGGCGAGGGCCACATCGTGGGCGGGCCCGAGGCGCTGCTGCCGCACTCGCTGCCCGGCGCGCTGGGCGGCGGCGTCGCGCCTGCCATACCGCGGCAGGAGAAGATTGGGGTGGAGGGCGTGTACCACGTTCAGGCAGTCAGCATCATGGAGGAAGCCATCATCAGGTGTGTGTGGGTGTGTGTGGGAGGGAGGGAGGGAGGTTGTGAGTGGGTGTGGGTGGGAGCAGGCAGGGAGGGCTGCGTGGGGCGTGCATGCGCCTGCCCAAGGCCCCCTTGGTGGCTGGGTTCGCCGGCGGGGAGCGTGCTGGGGTGCAGCCCCGCCTCCCAGCGCAGCCCTCCCGCCTGCCCGCCCCTGCCTCCCCGCCGGCGTGTGCTGCTTCCCCGCCTCCCTCCACCACCACCTCTCACCTGCCCCGGCCGCCTACTCCCCAACCTCTCCCCCCCGCAGCAACGTGGTGCCCTCCTTCAAGACCGACGCCGCAGAGCCCATCGACCTGCGCGGCATGCCGCCCGCGGTGGCCGAGGTTTATGTGCTGACGGTGCTGTCGGCCATGCAGCGGCAGTGCGAGGCGCGGCGCGTCATCATCCAGAACGTCGTCTTCCTGGTGCCGCCCTTTGACGGGTCCAAGGTGTGCGAAAGGGGCTCGCGGTGGTGCTGCTGCTGTGGTGGCGGCGGCGGCGGCGGGGTGACGGCAT